GGCAGCGGCGCGGCGCTGAAGGCGCCGCGACGGCTGCGGCGAGAAACCCGGCCGGCCGAGCGTTTCGCATCGGGAAATGGCGCCCATCTTTTGTGTTTTGTGTCTGCTGTGTCCGCATGTGGACCCTCCAGCCGGAGAACCTGCTCCTGGCCAGCAAATGCAAGAACGCGGCGGTGAAGCTGGCCGACTTTGGCCTGGCCATCGAGGTGCAGGGGGACCAGCAGGCCTGGTTCGGTGGGTTGACGACGCGTTACGCAGAGAAGACGCACGACACTCGCTGAGCACTTGAGCCAAATGTTGCTTTCAGCTTTGAATGGACCCCAAAAAAAAAATAATCGCCAACCATACTTCAAGACGGATCAAAACATGCGCTTGTAGCCACTTGTCTCTCTTTTCAGTCACAAGGCACAAATGGGCACAAAATGTCGCCGCGCCACCTGATGGGCAAATCTGAACACGAAGAGCGCCGCTCGCTCGTCGCGTCGGGACGCGTTTCTACCGAGATGAAAATTGAGCCTCGTGCGGCGTCGACGTCGAAAGCGCTCCACGAACAAATATCCAACGCAAGCCGCGGATGTTCATTGCGTCGCCAGGCAAAATTCGGGCCAGAGGAACGCCCGAGGCGGAAGGCGGCGGAACGCCGTGAAGTTTTGCGCGACTTTCACGCTCTTCTGCGCAGGCTTCGCCGGCACGCCGGGGTACCTGTCCCCCGAGGTCCTGAGGAAGGAGGCCTACGGCAAACCGGTGGACATCTGGGCCTGCGGTGAGCGAGCGCGCCTTCTTAGCGTCGCGCTTCTCTTCTCACTGTCGCCTGCGTTTGTCCCAGGGGTGATCCTGTACATCCTGCTGGTGGGTTACCCTCCTTTCTGGGACGAGGACCAGCACAAGCTGTACCAGCAGATCAAGGCCGGGGCCTACGACGTGAGCCTCCCGCCCTCGTCTTCTCTTCTCCTCTCCTCTTGCCACCCGGGTCGCTCCTCCCCGCCCTCCCCTCGCTTCCCTCTTTTCGGCTCTGAGCGTTTCGCGTTGAACTTTCTCGGCTTCCTCTCCTCTCGCTTTCCGCCGCGCCGGGGAGCAAAAGGAGGGGGGCGGGTAGCTCGGGAGGTCGCCGCGAGGCGGCCTGAAGAAAGGCCACCATCACGACGTGACTTGATAGCGACGCGGACGGCTCGCTATTGTCGCCGCTCGACTCGATTGGGAGAGAAAAAAGGCCGCGCCTTTGACATTAGATGGGTAGCTACTTGCCAGGTGAGGACTGAGGAAAGGAGGAACGGCGCAGGGAAGTCAACGGGCAGCTTGGAACGTCGGCAGACGCCAAGTACGTTGGCGCGCACCTGTTGCGCCAACGTCAAGCTCGTCGTGAAGAAACGAAAGGTCGCCAGGTGGGAAAGTACTGACGGAGATGGAAAGAGGCGCTCGCCACGCACCGGGAGGCAAGTGGCGAGGCAAGTATGCAGGCGGGTTGGCTCCCACCTCCGGAGCTTCAGAGAGGACATCGTTAGGTCGGCACTCGGTAGAAAGTCAACGGGTCGCCAGCTGGGCTCCTACGATTTAGGTGGTCGAGTTCAATCTAGCGCTCGGCGAGTGGCGAGGGAGGAACGTGCAAAGTCCACTTTAGCCGCGTACGGTGGGTCACGGTTGCGCGTGGCGGCGTCACGCGGTCCCTGGCGCTCGCTTGCCGTCTTTCTTTCACAAAGTGTCCTCTGCGTGGCTTCCTCGGCTGCCTTTCCTCCACTTTGATGTCGCCGTCGTGTTTTCCACTCACTCCATCCGAGCGGGCTTCCTCACTTCCCGGCTGCGCCGCCGTTTCTTTTTTGGGCGCCGCCGTTGCGTAAC